ATGTCAAAGGAAATTCAATTCTACATGTGGACGCACTATCAAGATTGAGGTTCTACAAGGAGTCAAAAGATAAAACAGAGGAAGAATTTGAAGATTCATTCCTACACTTGATAGAGACTGATGTTTTGTCTTTAGATAGAATGGCTGCGGAAATGAGACATGATCCAGTGCTAAGTAGGATAGTATCGAGAATAAGAAAAAACTCATGGGGGAATTGTTCTAGGGCGGAAAGACCCTATAAAGAAATAAGACACAAATTAACAATAGAACATGGAGTGATTTGCAATGGGGACCTGGTAGTTCCCCCAGAAACACAAAGAAAACCAATAATAGAAAGTGTACATGATGATATACACTGTGGAGTAGCGGCCACACAAAAAAAGGATAAAATTAGAAGCTTGGTGGCCAGGATATTCAAGAGATGTCGAGGAATATGTAAAAAGGTGCAAAAAATGTAAAGAATTAAGAAACTTTACACAAACCAAATTACATTCGTGGCCCAAAGAAGTGGAGCCCTGGAGTCGTGTGCATATGGATCATGCATACATTAATGGAGTGGGATTCTTATTAATACTAGTAGACTCTTTTTCAGGTTGGCCTGAAATAATCCGGGTTACAAACAAGAAAAGTTCTACGATAAAGCAGATTCTAAGAGTCATATTTTCCAGAAATGGCATACCAAAAACCTTGGTATCTGATAATGCACCAGAATTTTGTGATGAAGAACTTAATGTATGGTTAGAAAAAATAGGGTGTAAACCATATAAGACACCTCCATATCCCCCTCAATCGAACGGATTAGCAGAAAGAATGGTACAGACCGTAAAAAAGGGGCTAAAAAAGCATGCTCTCAGCAAAAAGAAAAAGTAGAAGCTTTTCTTCTGAGGCTGCTTTTAAGTTATCGTACGATACCACATGCGGGAAGACTAGAAAGCCCATCAGCTTTAATGGGAAGACAGATTAGAGCTCCGCTAACAATGTTGTATTCTACAAATGAAAAAATGTGGTACAAAAAGAACAAAGATGCAGATCCAGAAAGGGCAGAATTTATCATGCAAAAGGGCCACAATACAGCCATAATAAATAGAGAAAACGGCAATAGTGTATTAGCCCATGCAGACCAAATAAGGACCCAGGGTGAAGAGGAAGAGCAAAACGACGAAGAAATGTCTTCAATTCCATCTGATAACGAGTTGGTAGAACAACCATTACAGAAGGAAACATCAGAAGACAAAATAATGCAGGATCAAGAGGGCCAGAATGAGTCTGAAAGTTTGGACGAAGACCAGATAATGCAAGAAAGCACATATGACTACAGCCTAGCGCGGGACAGATCCAGGTCTCCGAGGGAAAGAAATACAGGAGAGAGAGAAGTAGAGCAAAGTGATGAAAATAGCATGAGAAGGAGCACAAGATCTATTAGAGGAATAAAACCCTTACATTTCAGGGAAATGTAGTGATACTAGCAAATTAGTATGCATAATTTGCATAAGCACAAGTGAACACTCATAAGTGATCACTGAGAATAACGAAGGATGGTAGAACGAGTTTAGCGGCTGATTAGTGCTAACCTCTACATCATAACACAATCACTAAAAAAAAAAAAAAAAGAAAAAGCACTCACTACTTTATGGCTTTCACACCAATGATTTATCACTTATTGCCAATCTATTTCTTTACCAATTGTTTTTCAAAATGTGTTTGAATACTTTAAGAAATTTACAGCATTACACCTTTATAAAATTTTCACAGCATGTGTACTTTTGCAATGCTAGGTGTATATGCATTCCCATTTTCGCTTGAAGATGAAATGGAACTAATGCTTTTAATTTAATTGCAAAATTAAATTAGAGGTTTTTAGCTTCTATTTTTGAAACATGGTTGGAACTGTGTAGCGAAAATAACCATATTTTAAATCAATTAATTTATAATATATATATATATATATATATATATATATATGTGTATTTTGGCAGCAATCCTTCTTTCATGTATCTTTCATTGAATACGACAGACAAGGTGCTTTGATTTAGTTTTTTTTATACAATTTCTTATGTCGCCTAATATTTTTTTTCTTTTCGGATGATAAATTATATAAAAACTGTCCAAATGTTCTTTTTTCTCCAAGTGATTTCGGATATACATTCAGCCATTTTCAAGGATGAAATATTTTGTTAAATAAGAAATAGTTTGTTGCACATATGTATTTATATAATGTTTATATAATGGACACAATATCTTGACCATATTTTGAAAAAGAAAAAACTGAAAACATTATATAAATACATACATGCAACAAATTATTTCTTATTTAACTGTTAAAATATTTCATCCTTGAAAATGGCTAAATGTATAGCCGAAAGCGCTTGGAAAAAAAGAACATTTGGACAAAATCTTGACAAAGAGCTTTCTTTTATCCTTAATACCAATCTTAAGGGTCCTATAGGGCAACAGATCAATTCCTTTTGTAGAATAATCTACAACGTTTGCTTTGAGTGGTTTGGACCAGTAACGGAAAAGAAAGATCAAAAAGAGGAAAAACAGCCATTGTTTGAAAAGTGTTTTGCATTGTATTCAAACAGTTCAGCACGCATCAAGTTGGATTTGGTCAAGATCAAAACAACAAGCAAATAAAATGCACACAACATCATGACCTAACGTGCACAAGTGAAATATTTGCGTGGTCATTTATAATGATTTCTACGAGTGTGTCAATAACGGCAAATGCGTTCAGGAAATATCAAACTTTCATTACGAATAGAAGCTGCAAAGAGGAACAATCAATTTGTTTATCCCAAATTTCATTACGAGAATTTACAAAGAGGAACAATCGATTTGCTTATCTTCATACCCTGTCTGGTGGCAAACACTGCTGGTGGTGCCACGGGTGACAGTTCTGCCATAGCCACTGAAACTGTGATACCACCCCTGGTCAGCGGCTGATGAAGACAGGGTATCGCACGTGCTAACACATGTTGTATGTTAAAAATATTGCTTCTTTTACCACCTGACAATTGTGCAACAGTAACGTTAACTATCTTTATGTCCACATGAAACTTTTAGTTGCAGACAGCAGTAAAATTTAAGTACTGCTTTCATTATATATATATATATATATATATATATATATATATATATATATATATATGGTTGTAATTTTCTTTTGATATCACTGGTGGATTATATCACAAATGATTCCAGTCTCATATTAAATCAATTTTATCTATTCTGTTTTTGTTAAAAGATTTTTGATTAAATATGAAAAAAAAGGAAATATAGTGGTGGAAATTCCTTAAAATTTCAAAATCTCATGAAAGATTTAAGAAACTGTTCTTTTGAGCTTAAATTTTGAAACTTTCATTTTAAAGCAGCAATTCAGCTGAGCAATTAGTTTTTAGCATGATGGTTTATATCAATGGGTTTTGCTTACTGATAGGAAGTGTGTATTCTGTTGTAAAAAAACGTTTGTTTCTTCAAATCTATGACTATACATACATGCACACACATACACTTCATATATATTTACACATAGGAAATCAAACATATTTACATATTTTTTGATATCCAACTCTTCATCCATTCTTTCAGGGTGAACTTAATGATTCTAGGGTCAAGATTATAAAAGAAAAAAGAATTATATCCAAGAATGACTCTTTTAAATAGAAAAGACATTCTACCATATTCCAAGAAAGATGCATTCTTGGCTTATTTCACTAATATCTGTTGCTTGTGCAGAAATTTGGCAAAGATTTCAGTACAGAAGAATGGAGACTATAGATTCATAAAAAAGGTGTAATTCTTCAGAATGGTAATAAATATTAATCAATACCTGTTGCTAATTCTTAGAAAAAGAAAATATAATGTGATAAAATTCTTGTAATTGTATTTTTATAGTGTTTATTGTTAATCACTTTAACTTTGTAAAGCCCAGTGTTATTAAAAACGCCACAAATATAATTCAAGTTAAAAATAGTCAAAAACAATATTTTTGTAGATTTTTTATTTTTTTTAACACAAATAAACTACTAAATGGTCAATGGAATAAAAAATCAATTCACTTGAAATTAAGATAGTTTTTTAAATAATTATTTGAGCCTGCAATAGAAAAGAATTTGAAATTTTTGCCATATTCTGATTGTAGGTCGACCTACAGATAACACTGAGGACAGAGTTGCTTGGAAGACTAACATAAAATACAATTTGCTGTTTTAAACAAACAAAATTCATCCTATTTAAGGTCATCACTAAAAAAGCAAACACAAAAACAAAACAAAACGTTCTTGTAATATAGTTAAAGGGAAATAATTCATAAAATATTATCTAAGAGTCACTTCCCTTCCAATTTCTATAGGCGACATAAAAAAAAATCTGAATTTTTCCAATAAAATTCATATCCAGCCAAATTTATAAACTCAATCTTAAGTCATGCTATCCTAATTCTACATAGCATGCAAAAGATCCGTTTTTGAATCATTTTGTACAAACAAAAGAAAAAAAAAACCTCATCATTTGTAAGCATTTTTCACAAAAACTTATTTGATTGTTTGATGACCGATTTCTTTTTTTACTTATAAAAATGATTATGAAAATAATAAATAAATAACTTCCATCATTCTATTTTTGCAAAAATAATTTCGTAAAATATTCACAAAGATCTAAAATGAAATGTAGACAATGGCTTATATAAAACTTAAAATTTTCACTAAATAAATTAAAAACAATTTTAAAGCAGCAATTCAATTTTAATTTTCCTACATATAAAAAAAAAAAAATAAAAGAGAAATCATTTGATGCAATCATTCAGACTTTGCTTTGATCACACATAATCAAAATGTCAAAAGGTGTGGCAACGAGTCTAAATGAATCTTAGAAAAGCAACAATACTTGGTTAAAAAACTTGAGACAATGATTTATATTGAAAGACTTGCTTTGCATGTAATATTTCATTTATGAATTAGGAAAAAAAAAGGTTTGCAAAGGTAATTTAAATGTTGACTTACAATATTCCTTTCATTTCGTCTCCAAATCTCTCTTGTTGTCTCCAGAATTCGCAATTTTTTCGATCTGCCAAAAAGAAACAGAAAACGCCTTTTAGGATTTGGGTCTTTAATAAAGTATTCAAAAGAAACAAATTCAATAAAAAAAAAAAAAGAAAGAAAATGACAAACAATTACAAGATTGCATTCATCACTTTTTGATTGAAAACAAACAAAAATGTTTGAAATTATTCTCTAGTAACTATCATCATCATTTCTAGAGTATCACAGCAATATGCTACTTTGTTATTTTAGTTTCAGCAAACGGACTCTTTCCATTTAACCTTGAACACTTTGTTTGGGTTTATTAATCCTCTATATCGTTTTGGAGACATTTTATGCTAGCTATCCGCAAGCAACCCGTACCATTTCTTTCTTGTTTGTAGTTTTATTATGACTAATTACATCATACTTCATAATTTAGAGTTATTTTTACGACTTTGATTTATAATCGGAAGTAGCGTTAAAACCAGCAGTGATTAGCCACTCCTCAGAGGAACTGGGGAAGAGAAGATGAGGGGTTAGTATCCAAACCAGCAACCACCACCAGCAGTGACCAGCGATGATTACCAGTGACCATCAGCGACTTGCAATCACCATTGAGTCAGCAATTATCAGCGATCACCAGTGACCAACTGACTCTCGCTGACCACATCTTTTACCAATCCAATTGGCGATTCAGGTTTCATTCCCTGCTGCTCATCATCTCGCGAATCACCATGGTTTCAACTGCCTACCCTTGGCTAAGACTGTTAGAAACAGTGTTGAACTGTTATCTAATATCAGTCCTCCTATATGGCAATGAATGCGCAACAATCTCCTCACAGATGAAGAAGAGACTAGAAGCAACAGAAATGTGGTTCTACAGAAGGATGCTGAGAATACCATGGACAGAACATGTGAGAAATGACAAAGTTCTAGAAACAATGGCAACAAGAAGACACTTATACATAGAATAGATAGTTGAAATTTCTAGGGCACATAATGAGGAAAGAGGACTTGGAAAATTTGATACTCACAGGACAGATTGAAAGTAAGAGAGACAGAGGAACACAATGCATAATCAACCTGGCAAGCTTGAATGAATGGATGGTGAAACAGGGGTTGAGAGTGATGGCAAAAAGATAAAATTTATTAAGGGCTACAAAGGATGGGAAATTGTGGAGAGCCATGATCACCAACATCCTGAAGGAACACAGCATTTAGAAGATTCCATCTTGATGTATGAAAAGGAAAAAACAATGAAGCCTTGCAGTGTATGTAACATACATTCACTATTATTACTAGTAATTATTGAGTCCCTATGGAACACCTTCAACTCCCTTCCCAACCCCTGCAATTCATATTTACTATTTACAGTATAATTTAGTCCCTATGGAACACTTACAACTCCCCCCATACACATACATACATATTCACTATTTATATCACAATTGTGTCTCTATGGAATACATTTAACTCCCAATAACCCCACACATATTCATTATTTATATTACAATTTTGTCCCTATTTTTTTTTTACCTTCATAGTAGAAGATTACATAGTAAGGGCCACAGTTGATATGGATATGTGGGGAAGGTAATGGTTAACCTCGACTTGAACAGGTTAATATTATAATGATCGAGGAAGCATCCTCTTGGGAGTCAGTTTCACAAAGCTGCTTGAGTTGAACGTAAATCTCATCAATGGAATATGAAGGGAATTAGGATGGTTCTTATCTGTGAAGGTTAGAACTGGTGAAACTTCAGATCATCTGAGCATTTTCCATGGAAATAGCGATAGAGTAGCATGAGGCTTGCAACATTTCACCTAAGAGAAAGGGGTTGTAGAGTGGAAAATAATTTGTCACTCACAAGGATGTGGAGACGCTTTTGGATTCTATCTAGAATGGAAAGTGAAGACTCTGCAGCTCCAGCCCATATATGGCAGCAGGACTCCATTTTCAGCCTGATCTGGGACCTGTAGAGGTAGCGGAGAGCAGAAGGAGTCAGGTACTTGCTGGAGCAGTACAGGGAACCAACCATTTTTCCAGCATCTTTAGCAATAGATTGTAAGTGCGAGTTCCACTTGAGGTCTGGGTTGAGTTTAAGTTTCAATAGGCACACAATACATGTGGCCTCCCAGAGGGAACATCCATTCATCACGATTGGCGAATGTTCCTGGTTTGATTGATGTTGATGAAATGTCATGTTTGATTTTTGAGGCATTGAATGTGACCAGACTTTATAATTGATTGAAAACCTTAATGTTTGTCACTCAAGAGGCTGTTCCTATTGAGGTGATCAACAACCTTTGCTTAGATTACAGCTTCAAAATGTTTGCTAATGACACTGAGGAGACTGATGGGTCTATACTGTGAAGGAGATGAGTGCTCAACCTAATTCTTGAAAACCAGGAGTACACTTGACACCTTCTACAGAGTTGGAAAGGATTTCTCCTTCAAGCAGTGGTTAAATAATTTTGCTAAGATTGAGAATAATTCCAGATTAATATTCCTAACAATCACTGGGATTTTTCCTGGGCTGGTGTCCTTCTTAGGGTCAAGTCTTGAGACTTCCCAGGCTATAATAAAAATATTACTGTGGTTGTTTTCAGTGAGACAGGAGAAATCAGGAACAGGGTTGGCCTTCTTCATCTAACGTCGAGTTAGAGGCAAAGATGAAAGTAAAGAGCTTTGTCTTATCTGATGAGAATGAGATGACCCATGAGCCATTTATTTTTGCATCTATTCAGAATCTGGTTGGAAATCTTCCAGAACTCCCAGAATCCAATTTGCTTGCTTTCAACATTGGCCAGGACTGCTTATGTTTTGCTACACCTTGCATATTTCTAGGACATTGTTGCAGTGATTGTAGGCAGTACTGAATACAGCAAGTGTCCTACTACATTGCTACCTGTGACAGGTAATGTAGTGGTTACAATGAGCTATAGCTGCAGCATATTCAGTGATAAATCAGGGCTGGCTGTTTGGTTTTTGCTGGAATTTTTTCTGGGGTAAAAAAAAAAAAAAACTCTCCATTCCAGTAAGTACCCATTCTCAGATAATGGCAGCAGATTTGGAGGCAGTATGTTTGAAGAAAATTGTGAAAGGAACTTCCACCATGTAAGATATGAAGCTGTTCCAGCCTGCTTTCTCTGCTGACCGCACATATTCATTATTTGTATTAGAACTTTGTACCTGTGGAACACCTTCAACTTCTCACCCCACATATGCACTACTTATATTTAAATCCCGTCCCCCCATGGAACACCTTCAACTCCACCCTACACATATTTACTATTAACAGTACAATTTTGTCCCTATGGAACTCTTTCAACTCCCACCACTACATATTCACTATTAACATGACAGTTTGGTCCCTATGGAATATTTTCAACCAAACCCCCATCCACCCCACACACACCCATGTCACTATTGATATTACAATTCAGTCCCTATTGACAAAGATTCACAGGCACATGTGCGTACTATTACAAACCTGAACAAGCTGTCATTTCCCCTTGACAAAGTTCATATATTTTATTAAATTCTTGTTGGCTCTTTTTCTTTGATCTATATTCACCTTTTTCATTAAGTCAACAAAACAAGTGACTGGGGATGTCATTTTAAAAGATGTTGAATTCAGTCTCAAAAAAAAAAAAAAAAAAAAAAAAAAAAGAGAAACACATTTACACATTTTACACATTGGTGAATTAAAAAAGAATAAATTCTACAAAAGCTAAATGTAAACAAATGAGTCCATCCCTAGCCAGACTTTATTTCTAATTAACATTTAATGTCATTCAGGTGATAATCATTTTCTTTCTGCTTTCTTATCTTGTGGCAATTGCATTACAACAAAACAACAAAAATTCTTACATTGGCACAAAATGAAACTAATTAAATAAAAAGATATTTTGTCTTAGGAGAAAATATCTTTTTAGTTAATTAGTTTTATTTACAAAATAAAATGTAGCTTCATGAAACAAAGTCCACATGGCATGTGAACTTTGTTTCATTTTTTCTTGGAGAATTCGTCAATGAAGCTACATTTTATTTTTTAAGCTTCATCCTATCTTGTCAAAAGTTTAGATTCTAGATATTTTATGTGTGGCACACTGAAGTAGCTAACTCAAACTAGTCAGGCATAGAGAGGGGGGGGAAACATGTAGTACTCAGTACTGAACTTGGTCATTTGCCCACACAGACTTGAAACATTAATTTCAAGTATTCTTCCGAAACAGCACCCACACCATTGACACCTGATGATCTGCAGAAAAACTGCTTATTGGAAAAGGATGAGGATACAAACTTTTGGAAAAACCAAAATGCTTGAGTGAATTTAAATAAACCTGAGTTGGCAGACTATTTGCAATAACCTGAGATGCTTAGCATGTGAGCTAGTTATTTTAGAATGACTAAATTTGTTTCTGTATCAAGGATAGAAATCAGAGATTGGGATCTGATGAGAATCCGGGTTCCTCCTTCAACATCAATTATTCATGTAAATCAAGAGAACCTTTTTTCAATTTGTTTTCGACTTTCCAAAAATATGACCACAACAAAATAAAACAAATTTATTTTAAATCCATTTTATTTTTTAAAATTTATTTTGTTTTCTTTTTTCATCAGGATTTAAATATTCATTTTTATTTCTTTTGATTTATCCAGAATTTTATTGGAAAATCGCACGTGGAAATTGTCATTCCAATTTTTTCAGTGTAGGGAAGAAGGAATATTTTTTATTTGTCATATTTGGTTTCCATTCCAGTTTAACTTTTTGTTGCTTTCTAAGAATCAAAAGTATTTAAAAAAAAATAAAAATAAATAAAATAATTCTTCCAAATTTTAAAAGACAGAATTATTCTTTCCAGCAGGAAGAAAAGAAGATTATTTTAAGATCATCAAAAAATATTAAATGACAGATGAAATTAAAAAGACATCTGAAGCATTGAAGGACAGAAGGAATTCAAGTGTCAGCCTATGAGACATCTTTGTTTTGGATTAATAACATTTCACTTTCATATGTCTTATTTAAATATACATGGGGACCTACCAAAAACTGTAACATACTTGTTGATAATACAAATATAATAGCATCATCCACATGTACAAAAATGATGGAAGCATTATTAATAAAAAAGAAAAAGTCAACACTCAATAATATCAACCATGAACATGGCCACAATGTGCTGACCTTGTTTGTAAAATAAAACATTCCTATAACTCTAGATACATACATAAAACAATCCATATATTCAGTTAAAAGTAAAATAAAATTCATCCTTGATAATGACTAAAAGTATAGCCAAAAGCGCTTGGAAAACATTCGGACAATTTTTATATGTCTTGAAAAGAAAAAAATTATACGAACACGAGGAATTATATAAAAAACTCAACCACCACACCTTGTCAGGCGTTTTCAACAAAACTTATATATATATATATATATATATATATATATATATAAAATGAAATCCCAAAAGTTTCTATTAAGTATTATGTGAAACATTATATTTTGCAAATACAAGTGTTTGGGTAGACACATCCCTGTTTTTACTGTTTTTAAACAATGCCAATTTATATCTACTAGCCTGTACATATGAGAGTGTTAATAAAGAAAACAAAATGCTTTCCAGCAGGGTTCAAACCTGTTGTAGGGGAATATCACTGTGTTACTAAGTGTGCTTTAAACCACACAACCACTAGAGACTTTCACCATCAAGCAAATTTCAATGACCTTATTTAAGAAATGCACAACTCATGTTTCTATAAAATGAAGAGTTAGGTTTGATCAGCAATTTATAAAGACTGCCTTTTTGTTTGCCAACTTTTCCTGATTTTATTGAGTAAGCATAAAAAGACATCAAGACTGACAGATTTGCACCTATTTCAAAATAGGTTGACTAGTGAAAGGATTGGTCAAAAAGGACAAGAAAGAAATGGTTATTTGCAAAAGTGTGTGTGCGTGTGTGTATGCGCGCATGTATGTAGTTTCAAATTTGAATAGGAAAGAACAGACTTACATCCTTTTCCATAAGTGATTTGTGGCAGAACTCTATCAAGGACTTCACATAATTCTACACGATTACGAATGTAGTCTGCCTGATTCATTACCAAATCTTGAGGTTGTCTCTCCAACAATTCTGTGCAATGAAAGAATGAATATTTAAAAAAATAAAACGCATCAATTTAATAAGACAAACATCTTACATACCAAGAAAGAATTATAAATTTGATTACATATTGATATTTATATGAAGTCTTACTTGATACCATAATGCACTATCTCCATATTTTTATACTTTTTCTTTCATTTTTTTTTCATCATAAAAAATTGATTGGTAAGTTTTCATAATGTTTACAGGTAAATTGCATGTTTTGGATCCTGGCAATTGTTAGCCAGAATTCTTCTTGTGATCTTCATAGCATAAACACATCAAGTTGCCACAGAGCATGAAAAGACAATTAGAGGAGTTTTATAGTACACTTGATAACCGCCAAGTATCAGTGCAATTTTGCAAGTAAGTATCATCATCATCATGGGAGACGAAAATGCTTTAGAAAGGAACAAGGTAATGAAAGAGTAGGCAAGTATGAACTTGGATCAAACAAAAAATGAAGAGTTATATGTGTTCAATAGTACAGAGCCCAAAAAAACAAATAATAACTGACATCTGTTTTCAAGAACAATCAAAATGCTTGTGGACATAGAAAAAACCCAGGTGGGAATACAAAGAACCATACAGACTATCAAACAATCAATAAAAGATTTAAAAATGCTGTTCTACACACTAAAACTTATCCAAGCACTGACTATGGAAGTGACCACTTCACAGTCATAAGCAAAACTAAACTTAAAAATTATAGAAATGCAAAGCATTGTCTAGTCTAGAATAAAACAGCCTTCAGGATTTTGGTTCAATTTGTAAATAGAAAGTAGATAAAAGGCTGAAAGGATTAAGAGCAAATATAAAAGACTCAAAAATGTCATGAAATCAACGTAGATCTGCATAATGGAAGTTATAGTGATATCGGTAAACGAGATCATTCCAAAGAGAGATTTGTAAAAAAAGAAGTGGATGACTGATGAAATTCTTCAGTTGAAGAGACAATAAACAATGGCAAGGAATGGTATAGTATATTGAATATTAAACAAAGACAATAGAAATAAATGCAAACAGTTGCTGGATGACTGGCTCCATGAGAAGAGTGTGAAGCAATAGAAATACTGTGAAACATAGACACATAACGGGAATGCATAAAATAATAAGAGAAATAACAGGACAGACTACATGCTTCTAAAAAGGACACATAAAATCTAAAAAGGGGAATGAAGAGATACTTCAAAGATAGAATGAATACATTGGAGTACTCTTCCATGATGACAGGGAAGAGAAACCCACAAAACTTAAAAACATGGTAGTACCTGCAATATTAAAATCTGAGGTATGACTGACACTAACCAAGATGAAGTAAAACAAAGCAGCAGCACCAGGCGTGATTCTAACAGATATTTTTCAGATGATTTTAGGACCAACAAGATTACTGAAATAATAAACAAAATATATAATATTAACAATCTACTGGAGAACCTCAGTAGATCTATCTTAATAGCAATGGCAAAAGAACAAGATGCAAATGAATCTGAGCTCCATTAGACAATCAGCTTAATAAGTTTATCAGAATTAGACCAGAAACAGGACACAAGCAGTGTGGCTTTGTTCAAGACACTGGAACAAGTAAGGCTCTCTTTATGATCTGAATGCTATCAAATAAATGAAAAAGACCTATATCTATATCTCATAGATTATGCAAAAGCATTTGATAAGTTATGACACAAAAACCTATTTGACCTGTTAAGAAAACTTAATTTATATGGGAAAGATTTTAGAATAATCTAAAACATTTATTGGGGGGGGGCTGCCTGTTTGCAGATAAAATTGAACAAGAAAGAAGAGCAACATGGGAATGGGTTTTTTCTCATTCGACATTTTACTAATAAGGTAAAAATGATCTGAAGAGAACTAATAGACTGACAAGCATTAATTATTGGTGGACATAATCTTAACAACATAAGATATGTAGATGACACTGTTGATAGTAGACTTAAGAGTAAAATTGCAGAAAACTCCTAGACAAGGTAGCAAAGGAAAGTGAGAGGAAAGAACCAACCATTAACTGAAAGAAAATAGATTATCTGGTTGCCAGCAAGATAGCCTAAAAGTGTGAGCTATGAATTGATGAAATCAGAATCAAGCAGGTACAGAAATTCACTTATCCAGGTGGTAGACAGACGACGAAAAATGACACAGAAATCTGAAGGCATATAGGTATTATGAAAAAAAAAAAAAAATCAGAAATTTCATCATTCTGAAACAAGGGACATGATTGTTCCACCACAAGCAAGAGAGTGAGTAGTGAAATTGACACAGACTGAACAAGATGTATTTTCTTCAGCCCGTGAAAATCCAACATGACGGTTTCAAAGCCTCGCACAACCACAAAATTTTTGGAATGATGATAAGCAAGACAAAATTTTAAAAGAAAAAAAAAAGAAAAATGACAATAACCCTGAGAACATCTAACATATACAAAACCAGCATTATAATAACCTCACAAAAATACGCATTCTTATTAATTTCAACACGTGTCACAAAGCCTTGCTTGTTGTATTTTATTGTTGTATGAGCTATTCATTTCAGTTTCAGTATAAAAAAGAAAAGGGATCCTCTGTCAAATACTAATATATATATAACACTGGGTAAATTACATTAAGAACATACCCAACCTCATGACATAAGAATAGAAAAAAATGCTTTCCAAAAACAAAAGAAAGTATTAAGAAAGAGGAAAATGTCATTAGAAAAGAAAGAAAAGTGTGCTGAACTGCTGTGTAATATTTAACCTCCTATATGGCAGTGGATGCGGAACAATTTCTTTACAGAAGCATGAATCAAGAGAGATATGATTTTACAGACTGATTCTAAGAATAACTTGGACTGAACATGTGAAAAATGAGGGTGTTTTAAAGTAAATGAAAACTAAAAGATCAGTAATAATCAAAATTAGAAGAAAACAGCTGAAATTTTTGAGAAATAAGGAAAGAGAGCCAGAGGGAAACACTGAAGGTAGGGGTGGGGCAAAGGGAGGCTGTGAGTAATCTACCCAGCAAGTTCATACAAATGGATGGCAGAGGGAGCATAAAGAGTGATGGTGAAGAATCAGACATTGTTTAGGACTACAAAGGTAAGACAATTGTGGGGAGATATAAAACAAAGGATAAAAGAAATTTCACCAGAACTGGTTGCCTAAAGAAATTATTTTAGATATCAAAATGTTCATTTCTGCTAATATTCTAACATTGTGTGTGTGTGTGTGTGTGTGTAAAAATAAAAGAGAATCAATTAAGGTGCAGAAGAAAAAAAAATCTAAATAATAAACAACCATACAGGTTGTTGGAAATATACTGTATTTCTGAAATACAATAGTACCAATTGATGGTCACAAGTTCGGCAAAAAACAAAAGAAAAAGTAGGATGTGTTGGTGCCTTTTTATTAGCCCATGAACTGACAAATCAGCAACTAGGTAGAATATGAGATTTCCTGGTAAAAAAGGAGTTTCGTTCTTCAAAATTATTGTCGGCAAGAATTTTTCATTTGATTAAAAAGAAAAAAAAAACACATAGATCTGTAAGATGCTAGAATAAGAAGGGAGTTTCTCTCACTCTCACTACACCCTCTCCATCACTGAGAGGTAGTCAGCAAAATTTCCCTGCTGTGGAACAATTGGTCAATATTGACCACATGTGCTGTGATATTTATTATGGCTGATTTGACTTTCTGTGTGAAAGAAAGACAATGCCACTTTGATATATTGGCCTTAAGACATCTGTGGAGACTAACACAGTGACACAACGGTAGTTGCCTAAACACCAGTTGCAATTCAAATATGATGTCTCAATGTTGCAATATTGTTTTAAAAGTTACTAAAGTTGCTATAGAATAAAGCTTAGGAAGAAAACTTATTTTTATATATAATATTGTTTCAATGTATCTACTGGTCTACTTATCTGCTGAATAACATAATCAAAGGTAATGGGGAGGATACAAATCCACAATAAATTGCTTAACTTTGACCAATTCACAGATGTACATTTTGTACTAAAATCCAAATCTTATCTGAATTTTAATTCACTGAAGTAAAGATAAATTTTTCCAAATTATTTTTCCAGAGAATATTTTAAGTTTATTTTAATAAATTTTGGAGTGATGTGTTTGTTTCAAAATCATCAATATTTCACACATCCCAAAATTTCCTTGAAAGAATTTTTTTAATAAAAGTGAAAATAATGAAAAATAAAAGCCCCATCTGGAGACATCAGAAAATGCTCTAGAAGTATTCATAAGATACTTACTGCAAATATAATTCTGCTGCATACTTCTTTGTGCCATTCTTACTTTCCAGTTACGAAGGGCTTTAGTTTCTGCACAGCTGACATGTTCAGATTGGGTTTGTGGTGTGATAAGAGGAGGAGGAGGAGGAGGACTTTCATGTAGAGAGAGCGGCTTCTTCAACGGAACATAACCATCTTGAGGAAGAGGCAAACCCTGAAATTGAAAAATATAAAATTTTCAGAAAAAGCAAAATGATTGAAACCTCTATACAAATTTGTGAGTTAATGTCTGTCTGACCAATTATGTTGATGAAATGTTGATCTCTACTGAAGATCAATGAGCTGTTCAATTTTTAACCAAGGTTCATCTACTCATAAGAACTATGGGGAAATCTGTAAACCCCAAGAAATATCAATGTTTCTAAGGGAGAAAGTTGAAGATTTTAATTATCAAGTGTAGTTAACTGACTGGCAACGAGAAGCACATTCAAGTAAAAAATTGGGAAGACATGCATTTTAAGTTCAATACTCATCAAAGTCAACTCTGATTTTTGTAATTTCTCACTCATTAGAACTTTCGATAAGAATGATTTTATTGTTTACAGAATTATGTAATCAATACATTAATTTTTACAATTTCACTTTGATAGGGCAAGCATTCTAAGAGGACAATTCTGAATTCAATACCCCCCTCCCCCTGCCTACATATTGTGGGCTCATGTGTTGGTGTAAAAGCCTATTACTCTATATCTGACAGACTGAGGAAGGTCAGTTTCGTTTTGTAGACTAAGACAGGGACTGATATATATATATATATATATATATTATAAATTAACTGATCTAAAATATGATTTTTTTGCTACACAGCATTTTCTTTAAATAATATTTAAAAATAAAATTAAAAAATGGGAGCTGGTAACATACATACTTATATTTGATATGAAAAAATAATTTTAAATAATGTAAGTAATTCTATTACATTTACTTGTTTTTAAAAAGAAATATAGTCTTTCATAATTAAGAGTAAAAATATTTTAAAATTTTAGTTTAATAAAATGTATTTTAACACAAACATAAAAAATTCTTTGAGTATACGGAGAAAAAAATGCCAAAAACCTTTTTGCCTTTAATAAAAAAAACCCAGACGACGTGCATTTAATGGATGTCAGAACTTGTTGAAAAATAAACCCCTACCCTCCCTAAACTTAACCTCTTTTTTGAACGTAACTAATAACTGATACAACAATAGTTAATAAAAATGAACATGCTACAGCCTCTGTCTGAATGATTGGATTCCTCTGTATCCTTGGAAACAGTATATTATGAATATATATATGTGTTTAAAACTCAGTAAATTTAAAAATAAGTTATTCCAATATTTGCTTGAAGATGAAACGGAACTAATGCTTTTAATTTAATTATATAATTAAATTTAAAGTTTTTAGCTTCCATTTTTGAAACATGGTTATTAATGTGTAGCGAAAAAAACATATTTTAAATCAGTTAATTTAGTTATGCTTTGTAAATTTACATTGAGCACTGTTTTATAAAAATAAAAAATAACAAGAACACTGGATTATATATCTTACTGTTCTTTCTTTTTATATATATATATATATATATATATATATATATATATATATTCCATTAATTTGGTATACATAAGATTTAAAATGAATTTTTAAAAATGCAAAAGATTTCTTGAAGCTTTTATCTTACCTTTAATTGAAAGCTAAAGGTAAAAAAAATCAATAAAAATTGGCCATTTTGACATTTGTAAACAAAAGTTAATTCTCAGTTTTAAAAATCTTGCTAAAATAAAATATATATTTCTGAAATGTTATTTGAGGAAAATTAGCAAATTTAAAGTTAAATTAATCTGATTTGAAACAAATAGTACTTATAGCATAAAATGTTGTATACAAGCATTTCTTGACTTGTTAATTGATTTAATGACAACTAATTGACTGCTGAATGTGTTCATAGTTAAGTATGGTGGAGCAGATGATAAAGTTTGAGTCGTCGCCCCCCCCCCCCCATAATGGGGTGGACAACACTTAAAACACATGACTTTTTAATGATAATGTTATAGGTTTGGACATCCATAGTTTGAAATTCTGCATGTATATCACACACAAAAAAAAAAAAAAATTGAAATTCTTTTAAAAATATTCAGGGTTGTCTGATTGTAATAAGCTTTACAATATACGATTAGTAAATATACTTTTACATAATAACAATATTTTCTAATAGTTATCCAATTGAAAATGAATTTTAAAGGATTTAAAACTTTATAAATTATTCAATTTAAAATTGTAAAAAATGAAAACAAATCTTGTAAAAATTCATTTTTCATTAAAAAAAGTATTTTTTCTTCAGAAAATATGTCTTTAGCATATATTATTCATAAAAGCAATTAAAAGATTCTCTAATTAAATAATGTCTTAGTTTTATTGTGTTTTTTATTTTTCAATTCAGAACAGATTTTCGGTAAGACTGGGTCTGATTTTGAAAAATAAAATATCAGTGATTCAAAGAATTCTGCTTTTAACTAATATAGTCACTAAAAATAATCATGTTGAATTTTTCAAGATTTCATAAAAAATTAAGTGGTGGGTAATATATGTAAGAAAAAATTTTTACCAAGATTTTCTAAAAGATTTTCTAGGGAGGTAGTGCTGGCCTGGGTCAAGAAGGTGGCTGCTGGAAACCTTATGTCTGGCAACAGAACTCTGCAACATACCATATAAGTCATGGCTGTCAGCCAATTTCTGTGACCACATCACTCCTTACATCTGGCTACCTAACTCCCCTGACTGCAAACCCCCACTTGATTATTATATATGGGGTGCAGTTGAGCAAGAGACCAACGTTGAACTTTAGGCAAGGATTATGGCAGCATTCAGCAACTTAAACAAGGAGACCGTCCAGAAGAGTTGCAGGAATTCCAAAGTCATCTGGAGGCCTTGGTAGAAGCCAATAGCGATTTTATTGAATAAAATTACTCTTTAGTATTTCAAGATATTTTTGTGCAATTTTGGTAAATATATCTTAAAATGAGATGTCAGTGTTATTTTCATTTTTATGTAATTTAGATGACAATTTATCCATTGCATTCTGTGTGTATATATATATAATATTATGTAAACAAATGTAAATGGATATAGATCCGACGGAATGAAGAAAAATTTGGAAAAAACAAACAAAAATCCTTAAATGCAATTATGTTGTTTAAAATGAATGAAATGTCGACGTCTGACGTTTCGGTTTAATAAACCTTCTTCGGGACAATATTCATTAAAATACAATTCAGTTCAATTTGACAAAGACGATGGACATAAAAAACAAGTCTTATCCAAAACAGATAATTGAAAATTTTAAAATGATCAGCTTTCCGTTTAGCATGGTCACGTGTGTCATCACATGGGTGACGCTTTCAAAACGTATTCCTAAAAATTTTGATTATTTTGAATGAAAAGAATGAAAAGAATTTATATTGATTGGTTAGGATCTATGAAATTTTTATGTGGATAAATTATATATATATATATATATATATATATATATATTATACCCAGTTAATCTAAGTCCACTAAGGGGAAATATTAAAGAAATCAGGAGGATTTATGAAGCAGGTATAATATCCATCTCACGCACGGTGAATACTAGACCTGGTTTCTTTAATATTTCCCCTTTTTTAGCGAGATTAATGCTCGACAAGCATACACATAAAAAAATTTTAGATCCTAATAGAATTCTATTTCAAAATGCAGTCTATTATTTTGCATAAAATGTCACAGTTCTAAATTTTCATGTTATGCTCATTGATTGAAAGTCTGCATGCCTCAGTAAGTTTCTTCATAATATTTATGTTTCCTAAAAGTGAAAGTGAAACTACATTTTCAATATGCTTCTTTGACTTCTTATGTTTTTCAGTTTTTTTCTTTCATTTTGTTTATATTTCTAAAAGCATCTTTTGTCTATGTTACATCACCTCCAAATAACAAACACACCTCTTTTTACTTTACAGCCGCAGAGCCAACTTTTCCATTCCTGGTTGAGATATTTGAATATCAGGTGTTGAACAGGTTGTTTTCTTAACTATGACTTTCTCATGGAAAGACAACTGTGAAAACTTAAGCTGCTGAAGCTCACTGTCACAGAATTTATTTCTTGGGGATTCAAGGAGGTCATGGTTAAATTATTAAAAATTTCTATACAATAACCCCCACCACCCCATAAAAAAAAAGAATTAAATAGAATAAGCTAGAAGCATGACAGTCATCTACAGTTTATCACATTCAAAAATATGGTACATGGTTTTTGAGCACAATACACACTGAGTCAAATATAAACACTACTTACACTCAGACAACAGGGTCGGCACTGTGTGAGCAACAGTGCTCTCTCTAACCTGCGTTCAGCTTCTTTCCTTGGAGATGTGTGCATGTGCACAACAGCTAAACATTGCATTACTGGAGCAGTGAAGCACACAACGATTTTTGTAATTTTTCCTCAATGGCTACTGACATTAAGCTTAAGGATTATATAATGTACAAGTATAAAGAAAGAATTAAAGAAAAAAATAAGACTTATTATATTGAATTTTATTAATAACATCAAGTAGAAATAGGGTTTCCTGCAGTTCTGCAAGGAGCCTATACAAAAGCTACCAGTCACCAACTTTTACAAAATCTATACTTAAAGAAGCTAAGATATGCCTTCCTAATGCTATTACAACAACCAACGTTATGTAAATATTTTGACCCTAACACAAAACACTTTATGGCAAAATTAATGCAACAACTTAAGCTGGAATCTGAACTTGGCTATTTTCTGCACCAATAACTGATGCTACCTACCCATTATATATAAACACACACACACACACACATTCCACCTACTCCAGAGGTAAATATGCAGTGCAGTAATGTTATAATTTTTAATGGCCATATCATGTGCAAAGAAAATTCTACTGTTAGAAGAAAAAAAGATTTATAAAAAGTTTTATAATAATAACAATAAAAAGTGACATGAAACTGAAATAAAAAAAATGGAAATTTATTCAAAATCAAGATTTACCTCTACCTGGCCAGCCTTGGAAGCCATTGAATAAAAATCATCATAATTTCCAGCAATACTGTGTGATACAAGCCGACCAATGCTATCAAATTTAGGGCCCAGACAACCTGAAAACATAAAAAATAAAATATGAAATACCCCATTTATAACAGAAAAACAGATGTCAGTTTGTTTAATTTGACTGGTTTGAGAAAATGATCAGCATTAAGCGTTTCACTTTTTTTTTTTTCTTAATCAGAAAGCATAGAAATAGAAAATATTGAACAGAATAAAAACAAAAATGAGAAGAAAGTTTAATAAAAAGAAAAGAGAAGTAAACAGAACCTTTGCAAGAGATCTGCAAATTCATATCATCAATTCCAAATGCCAAATTAAAATGACACTTACCATGAAAGACATCTGGAGATTTATGAATGGCATCAGGCAAAGCTGGTTTGGCCACAATAGCCCTGGACATGAAGAAAAAAAGATATGTAAGTGAAAGAAGTTCAAGTTTTATTTGTAAATATCTGGGCCTACACAGATGACCATATTATATATATATATGTATATATATATATATATATATATATGTATATATATATATATGTATGTATGTATGTGTGTGAACATTAAGGTCAACACTAAGCTCTAACAGCCTGCTTCATGCTTAAATGCAATCTTCAGGCCATGTCATGGCTTGACAATTGTGTTGATCTCAATTTTCACTTATATTTACATATGTTTCATCCCTCTGAACCCATAAATGTGGCATACCTTAAAACTATAGTCTTAATTATATATATATATATATATATATATATATATATATAAAAAGACATCTTTTGGCCTATAATTCATTTATTTTGTCTCCTGAAATGGAAAAAATATTAAAGCCTGATGATGAAAATGTGATAATTTTCGAAAGAACTAGGAGCACTGGAACATCAAATTGATCATACAATTTTAAACATAAGGATCGTATCATTCAATGAATGGTTAGTAAGTTAATGCGTTATTAAATTTGTTAGCAAAGAGATTTTGCTATTAATTACATTAACTTTACTGATTAATTCTTTGTATGATTACCTCTTTATAATATTATATATACTTCCCCATTTAATATATATATATATATATATATATATATATATGTGTATGTGTGTGTGTTCACAAACTGCAGATAGCAACATTAGTAAATTTATGCCATGATTTTGAACATTAAATTTGCCACTTTGGATAAGGAGGTGTGCAGAAAAAGAGGAAAGATTAGGGTGTTTATACAGCAGCATCCCCAAACATCACTTATTTAGTATCAAAGACTGTGCATGATTTCTTTCCATTAGGTGTAAAAACACCACAGAATAGCCTCATTCAAATTAACGTTCTAATCGTAAAATATTTTATTTTTTTGTATACAGAATAAGAAGTACTAAACAAATGCATTTAAGATGAACTTAAGCAGCTTTTAGGTTTTTGATCCTTACTGATATTTACACATCTGGGCTTAGGCCAGCCTAGAATTAAAACATTAATAATCTGTATTCAAAATTCCATCTTATACCTGCTAAATGCTGTCAATTTGCACCTAACTTGGCCATTTAATTGAGTCTTTAGACTTTTACATTAGATGTAGCTGAATGACATTGTTGCCAAATAAATAGGTAGTCCAATTTCTGTAAAAAAATAATTAAATCCAATTTTCTTGGTCAGGGAGAAATGATTTGGATCCTGAGCAAGTATAACTCCAACCCAAGAAAATAAAGGTAGCCATTGATTTATCCAGATTGATACCATTTCAACAAAGGACAAATCCAACATGGCACCACAACAGTTATGGGACCAACCAACCATCAGGTTAATGAATTGACTATGTCACATCTGATCAAATGGAATGCACAAGTCATATCTGTCATATGCATGAATGAAAACATCTTGACAAGTAATCTCTGAAGGTTTCCCCAACAACAATCAAATTTACTTACACCTCTCAAAAGACTTAGGTTATTTGATTGAAATGTGTTGAATATGTGCGTACAAGGGTTCTGGTTGCTTGATAAAATTACCAGGTGGCAAACAGATGAGCTTGACAAAGGAATCTGTCAAATAATCTAGTGATTTTTTTTGATTTTTTTTTAAATCACTACAATGAAGGAAATCTTTTTTATTTTTTTTTGTCACTGGGCAGTTCTAAATATTAGGAATTGTTCTCTTCAGAGCAGGGAGGCATTTTGAATCTTGGGGGGGGGAGAGAGAGAGAGAGAGAGAAAAATAGGCAGGCCTTTATAGATGAACAAGAGAATCATGATCATAAATCCTGTGACCCATTAGGGTCATAGGGGCAGGGTACCACATCTACTGCAACCGTAGCAGAAGTGGTGTGTCTTGCCTGACAGAGCCCAACCTACTCCAGACTAAACAGGAGAATACATAGGAATAAAATTATGCCTACAATCTCTAAAACTTGATTCATACTCTTTTCACCTCTTGATGTATTTCTTTGTTTTAATTATTATAATCATTTAATTTAGGTTCTTAATTTTGTACTGTATATAGAATAATGAATTAATGAAAACTCTTTTATTTACACTATTTATATGTCTTTTAATCTGATCTGTAAATTGAATTATTCCAAAAAGGTTAGACTTACAAGACTTCAAAGGAAGGGGGTTTCAGAAAATGTGGATAACACTGGCTTTTTACATCAACAACATAAATGTTCATTTAGTTAAATCCTAATTACTGCATTTCTTAATCAATTCTATCAGAAGTTACAAACATGCCATAACAAATATAGAAACACTATTAGGAAATGGAAATGGTAAGCAACTTGGACACCTTATGCTTATGTAGTATTAATGCTTTTCAGAAAGGCATGAATATACATCTACCTAGGATCTGTTTTACTGCAGATATTTTCTCTTGTTATTGGCATGTCCTAACAATTGATGGAGAAAAAACGAGAGTATGTAAAAAACATACATGCAAATCTCTATACCTTGCCAGCCCAAATAGTAGCAGTAAAAGTTAACTTCATAGTCAAATTGGATAACTAGTAAGAATAAAAAAAGGATATCAGGAATTTATCAGCTGATACAATCTAGAAAAATATTTAGAATAATAAAATTTAAATAAAAATATCTGACAACAAAAAAAACCTGTGATTCCAATATAAGTAATTGGTAGAATTGTCTTACGTTTTCTGTTTCTTGTCTGGGGGTGCAATAGGTTTATTGATTTTAAAAGTGATTTTTTTGTGTATAAGAGTCCTCGGTTCTGTAGATTGAACATCTCGGATCTGGGAAAAAAGAATTAAATAATAAAACAATATATATATATTTATATATATATATATGCATGTAGAGAGAAAGAGAGAGACTCTATCCTTCATTGAGCACTTTAAATCATGAATATAGTATACCTTAAGACTATACATTTCCAAATGTAAAAGAACAAAAAGAATATAAATTCAAACATTCATAATACTAATTTAAAAATGTGCTCAATGCAAGAGTAGAGAAATAAATATTTATTATAAACTGTTACATTGGAACATGCAAGTTGCCACAACAAAAATGCATATTTGTTTTGCCGTCTAAAGACATTTTGTCAGGTGGTTAATGATAGTGGTAATAAATGATTTTATTTAAAAATACAATTTATGAAACATCACTTCTTTTTTAAATTTTTGAAAATTTTCCATAGAAATCAAAGAAACAAAGATATAAAAAATTTATTCATTCCATAAAAGGAAAAGAAAGAAAAAAGCAAATTAAAGTAAAAAAAGGAAATGGTGAATTGGAGGCATATTAAGGAATTAACCTTACAATCTTGGTAAACTTTATAACTCAATGATCACTCCTATTATATTTTTTTTATATGAACATTTTAATGTTATCCTTAGTGGTTTATTCTTGATTAAGGTATTAAATAGGTTAATATTTGTAAATTACTGGTAGTAAGGTTAGCCATGAATTGGTTTATAATTATTTTACTTGTGATTTTGTTTAATAATAGTTTTTAATTTAAAATCAATATATTAATGTCACGTAAATGTTTAAAATGTATTTTGTATTCTAATTTATAATGTAAGGTTGATATAGTTAAGTAGTTGTTTTCTTTGTATATGGTTTTTCTTCTTAAAGAGTCTTTTATTTACGTACTATGTTTAATTTTGTTTGAATATGTGATTTCATTCAAAATGCCATAAAGTTTGAAATGCTACATTGTATCTGTAATATGTTTCCTATCTTGTCATGTTATATTTTGGTTCAATTTTGGATTTTTCATCTTAACGTGTCTTCATTGACTAAAACTGATATCAACAACTTCTCGTATCTTATTTTCTTCTCTTTCCTTTTCCTTTGTATCTGTAAAATTTGGATATACACCTCCCCTTCTCTTTTCCTTCCTTTTTTTTTTTTTTTTTCCCTTCTCTTGGTAGTAGGGTTGATTTCTTCTGCCCTTCTTTTCTTTTCTCTTACTTTTTCTTTTTATTGATTTCTTATTTTCTTTCCTTTTTTACTTTAATTTGCTTTTTTCTTTCTTTTCCATTTATGGAATGAATAAATTTTTTATATCTTCGTTTCTTTGCCTTCTATGGAAAATTTTCAAGAATGTAAAAAGAAGTGATGCTTCATAAATTGTATTTTTAAATAAAATCATTTATTACCAACATTGTTAAGCACCTGACGAAACATCTTTAAATGTTGAAACAAATACGCATTTTTGTCATGGAAACTTGCATGTTCCAATGTAACAGTTTATAATATATATATATATAAGTTAAAGCTCAAATATGGATCAGAATGCCTGGATGATAAAATAAAGAACAAATAGGAAACGTATATCAATCTAACATGTTTCACTTTTATTAAAGCTTTGTCAGAGATTGAGAGAAAAGAAACAAAAAGACAGAAAACACTGTTATTTTCTATTTTGTTTGGGTCAGTTCTCCTTGGTCAGACATGTGTCATGTGCATTAAAACTGTAGATAATTCTATAAGTGAGGATTCTTGTATGCCCAAGTGGGCATAAGATAGTAATGTGTGTTCATAATTGTATATGTATGTCTGTCTAGCGGGAGTTCTAATGACTTCACCTTTGTGTGGTCAAGCCAGGGCAGCATGGTGTCATATCATTCTAATTTAAGACTTGCCTCTTTAAGAATGTATCCTTTGTATTTGATAAATATAAGTTATATTCTTTAAAAAAAGATTCAAAGAAAGATGGTGATGTAATGTAATGTTTTAGGCATGTGTTTATAGTTGGTAATGATATTATTAAGTTTTCAATGTATTTTTTCCTTAAAGAATTATGTCCTTTTTAATAATATATATATATATATATATATATATATATATATATGTATTTAGGCAGCAATCTTTCTTTTATGCAAGCTTTATATGACAGACAAGGTGTTTGATTAAGTTTTTTATATATTTCTTATATGATCTTATAATTTTTTTCTTTTCTGTATATAAATTATACAAATACTGTCCAAATATTTTATTTTTCTATGCGCTTTCAGCTATTCCTTTAGCCATTATCAAGGGTGAATTATATTTACTGTTATCTGAAAATGAATTGTTGTATGTATTTAGCATTATAGAATGTTTTATTTTCAAAACACAGTCAACATATTGTGTCCATGTTTATAGTTGATTTAGTGTTGTTTTTTGTTTTTATTAATAAGGCTTTTTCTATCTAAGCAACAATGAGAATACAAACATAAACAATAGCATTAATATTTTTTTAGCAAAATCAGATGAATGATAATTACAAACAAGAGGAAACTAGACTTAAGAACATTATAAAAAAATCCACAACACCAGCAGACAAGAGCAAAAAAATTAGGACTAATTATTTATTACAAAAAATTTTAAACTGCCAATCGTATAGCTAAAAATATTAATTCACCTCTTAAATCAAAATTAAACAGAACAAATATAATTTATGAATTTATATGTTCATTAAAAAATTGTTTTCCTGATCAATCAAAATCTGTAAACAATTATATTGGCCGCACCACTACATGTTCAACAAGAAGACTCAGACTACATCTTTCTGACCATAGCTCAATTAGGTCTCATTTAAATAATCATGGAGACCTACTAGACCCTATTCGCAACATACATGTTGATAATACAAATATAATAGCATCATCTATATGTAAAAAAACTCAATAATATCAACTATGAACATGGACACAATATGTTGACTATGTTTTGAAAATAAAAATTCTATAATGCTAAATACATACAATTCATTTTCAGTTAATAGTAAATATAATTCAATATTTGATAATGGCTAAGGTATAGCTGAAAGTGGTTGGAAAAACAAAACATTTGGACAATTTTTGTATAATTTATCTACGGAAAAGAAAAAATTATAAGATCATATGAAAAATTATGTAAAAAATTTAATCAAAGCACCTTGTCTGTCGTATTTAATGAAGTTTACACACATTATATATATATATATATATATATATATATATATATAATCTCCCGTCGCGTTCGGGACGTATGAGGGTCAGGCCGATAAGTCCCCAGGAAACCGACATCCCTGACACCGCACATGAGATTTGATTATAGTGGTGAAGGCCTCGTGCAGGACCAGCCACACTTTTTGAGGGGACGAATACAGAAACCTGGTGCACTGAATGCATGCCACAAGGTTCCCAAACGACCCTCCACAGGTTTTGAATTCAGAGTTGTCCTTCTCCTAGACCAGTTGCCATCCAAGGCTATAGAACCCAGTCTGTCCTGCTATTTTACCCATAGCTGGAGGGAGATGAAGAGGATACATACCTTTCCCAAGGGTATTAGCACGTAAGTGAATGTAATGGATTCGACTGGAATTTGAACTCGGCTCTGCGATTCCTCAATCCAAGCCGCTATCCACTGCTCCACCGTGCCTATATATATATATATTATTCACAGGCAAAGAAAGTGTAAGCAATTAAGCCAAGGAACTAATGGTGGACAACAACAAAGTCTGGAGTGACAAAGATTTCACTTACAATTATAAATATACATTGGAAAAAAAAGAAAAAGTTTATTAAAATAAACAATTTTTTATAAAAAGTATCCAGAAAAGTTAATCAACCATATCAGGCAATACTGACCAATTCTTATCTAAGTTTAAAATCAAATTCCAAATCCCTTCTGCCTGTACAATATTTGACCATCCAATTTATTTCAGTTTTACATTTCAGTAAAATTATAAACTAGATTGTACTGATTTATTGGTTAATAATCAGTAATTTAATTATTCTGAATAAAAACACGAGTGTAGAAATTAAAGAAAAACTATCAGAATATCATTTAAATTCATTTTGTGTCTAAGACTACCTGATAATTTTTAAGCCAGGGATGAAATTTCTGTAATAAAAAAGAATGACTAATTAATGAAAAGTAATTTATCAATAAATACTGATATGACCAAATTACCAATGATCAGGCATTATTTGATGCAACCCTCCCCCATTATAAAGTCCTTCCTTGTTGGAATTCAATTTTCATTCTTGTCACTTTTTTTTGTCAATGTTGTCCTTGAAGCAAATCTGAATATAAAAAAAAATGCCTTTAATGTTTTAGATAAATGATGAGGGATTTGCACAGGTCATCAACACCTGGCCATGGGGTAAAGCATCCATTCCTTTTCTCACATGCCACCGGTTAGGTCATTGATTTTTCCCCCCCAAATGAAAAGCTTCATGCAAACCTCCTACATTTTGGTTGCTCAGGTGGGCCTAACGGAATCAAATAGCTGCACCTGGCAAACAACAGCGACAACAGAGAAGACAGAAATGAAACAAATCAATGATAAAGATAAAGAAATGGAAACAGAAAAACAACCAAATCATGTATAAAATACAAAAAAAAAAAGAAGTTAAAAATGAGAGGAAATAAAAAAAAAAAAGAATGAAATTGCAAAGGATACTACTTAGTCAAAAGTAAATGGAATTATGTTAATGTCAAAGAGAGGAAAGAGGATGTTGAAACAGTAAAGTTGGGGCCAAAATGTTTTGAGGATATTGAACCGAAAGACATGAGAGGGCTGTAAAGTGTGTGTGTGTTAGCAGTAGAAAAAGGTGAATTAATGAACAGTTAGACAAGCTTTCACCCTTCCAAGTGAAAATTTATAACCAGGATTTTGCATCTGTTTAGGAAATACCTTGAATTGAATCCTTGCAATTTCTCAGAAATCCTTTTTATTCCAATTGAAAATATATATATATATATATATATATATATATATATATATATATATAATCTTCTGGTATGGGTGTGCATGTACAAAAATAATTTTGTCTTGACTAAGTAGACAGTAAATGCAGTAGATTTAGAGATACTTATTAAATTTGTACAGAAAATCAATTTAGGCTTACAGCCAGTAAAAAACACCTGTTCCTGTACTATTACCAAAGTTAAACAATGTCAATCCTGGTCAGTATCCAGATGGGTGACTGCTTGGGAATACTAGGTGCTGTAAGCTTGTATGTGGGGGTGGTGTAATGGATAATGGCTTGGAATTGCTAATTGAAGAGCCAAGATCCAATTCCAATTGGGTTTGTTATATACACTTACATGCAAATACCCTTGAAAAAAGGTATTAATGCACCTCTTCTCTTGTTATTATCTCAAAAACATAAATAAAAATTTTCTGGCTTTAAATAACCTGCAAAGGGTTGGTAATCCATAGAAAAAAAAATCAATCAATCAAAATCAGTTTATTGGGAGATTTAGTAAAATGACCACAGACAATGTTTGCTTTAATGGTTTTTAGTGATTTTTCTCTTGTTTTCATACAAGAGAAAACAGAATATGTGATTCCAATGTATATAAAAAAAAATCTACCCTTTATATATTCAAGTGCTTTCAGCCATCATTAATCATTTTTAAGGTAACCAGTTGTAGACAACACAAATATTATATATCACTAGGAAAAAAAAAACAACAAAAAACATACTTGAAGCAATAATAATAAAAAAAACAAAACAAAAAGTAGCATTAAATAATTCAGCCTAGGGTCTGGTGTATTCAATATATATATATATATATATATATATATATACACACACACACACACACACACACACACACACACACACACGCCAAATAATTCATAAATGTATGAGGTCTAATGTACATTGTACACACCATCAACATGGTCAACATTTCTTTAAACTTCTTTCCTTTTCACCCTTAGACCCTGGAAGGAGACGTCAGAGCACTGATGTGCTGAGCTGCCCACCAGTCCCGGTCTAAGGTCGTTTCTTGGTGTGCTCTCATGTGTCACGAGTGTTTTAACCTGACGGAGCCCATCCCTCACCAAGTAACTTATTTAAATTTATAACATTCTAAATACCAAACACTATGATGGAAAAAACAAATTCATGGTTTTCCTCTTCTTGAAAATGACCAATGATGATTGTAAGCACTTGAACTTATATGTACAGACAATTTTTATATACACTGAAACAAAATATCCATTATCTTGTATGGAAAAAGAATGAAAAATTTAAAAGAAAAAGCATAATGTATGGTCTTTAGGAGTTGTGAGTTGTGCAAGAGATATCAGTGTGGAAAGGGGAAACGGCGAGCTGAGTTCTTATTCTAAGCTAGTCTGTTGCATTCATTTTCACACTAATGCCCTTGGGAAAGGCATGAATCTCTCTTTGGTCTTACCAACTGTGGATTTAGTAAGGTACACTGAGCTCTCTAGCTTTGGATGGTAACTAGTCTAAGAGATGGAACTGTGGAGAAGGAAATGGGGAACTATTCCCCTATCTTTCTCAAGAATGCATGACAATTCAAAAATATTAAAAAGGAAGCCGTGGAGAGCCATGATTATCTGTCTTCTGAAGGGACATGTCATTTAAAGAAACCTTATCTGTAGTTTTGAATAAAACATATCCCACAACTATACAAAAAAAAAAAAAAAAGACAAAGTTGGAAGGCAGAGAAAATGATGCTTTGTTGCATCCAAATTTTAAATCTGATAAAATAATAAAAATTTGAAATGAAAATTCTTGGTAAAGTTTTTCAAATTTAACCTTGAAACCAACATCAATTAAAAACTATTTCTACAAAATCTTTTGAAAAAATATTTTTAAATATTCTTAATTTATTTGAAATTTAAACTTTTAAGTAAATGAATTTTTTTTTTGCTCACATTTTTAACCAAACTCTTCTTTATAAAGAATTGATCAAATATGACTTTATTCATTTTTGATATTGCAAACAGGACTAGAGCAGAATGTCAGTCTCTACTAATTCTTAGTAAAAAAGATAGAAATAGTCCTACCTAAGAGTTCAAATTTTAAACAGTAATGTTGGTATGATGTTATATATTATAGTTAGACTAATAGTCTGCAACTACGTCTTTGGCTAAAGATGAAAGACAATTCAATATGGCACTCACCTTTCTGAGGTCATCATCTTTGATAGTAAGTCTTTGGAGTTCTTCCAGAGACTTCTGTACTTCATTGTCATCATCTGGAGGTGTTGGAATTTTATCATTGTAACTTTCTCTCTTTTTACGGATTTTATCTGGAAGGGGAGATGGCAGAATTGACAATTAACACAGAGATTGGAGTAGAAGCTAGGATTTGAACAGGCAAGCAATAATCGCAAAGGAAGATTGGATACTTTCAAAAGTTCTTCAGAATTCAATACCTTAAGTATGTTTTTTTTCTTTAAAAAAAAAAAAAAAGAAAAAAAAAAGGATCATTATGACAGTCATTTTTCCAATTAAAATAAAGACATATCACACATGACTGCTATGCAATCAGTTACAAACATCAAGCATTTACTGAGTATCAATGAAATAGAATTCTTTTATTGCAACAGCAAAATAAAGCATAACTGAATAAAGATTGGTGTTTCATTTTATTTCAAAATAGTGGACATTAAATAAGTAAACATAAAATTAAGTTGCCTTTGAGAATAGAAACAGTAAGAGAGTAAATAATTTTGCAGTATAGAAGTTCAAGTAAAACCTGTCAAAACTGCTTTTGGCAGTCAGGATGGAGATAACTTTTTACATCATCTCTTGTTTGAGAAGTTTCCTTCATTTTATTTGCTATAAAGTTTTCATTGATAATTTCTGATGTATAGAGATATGTGTGTGTGCATAATGTATGTTTTGGCAGTAAGAATTCAATCAATCAACTTTTATTAAATTTAACTAACAAACTCAGCCTGTTTATTTATATTTTCCCAATTTTTTAATAAGTTGTTTGCCCATCCCACTTAGATTTGTGAAGAAGCTGCCTAAAGGCCAGGGCTTTTAGAGTGCTGAAACAAAAACATGACCTTGGCACAATTTCTATACAAATCTTAACCAGATGGGCAACAAATTATTTATAAATAATAAACCTTATATTTTTGTCTTTTTGATTCACTTTTAATGTAGGCTACACAGTTCTTTTAGAATTGTTCTGTGGTAATATACATGCACTCACATGTGTGCCCACCCATGAGGAGGCTGAAAAGTTGTTTGGATGACCAAATTCCCTAAATATGACCAACAGTTTTTTTTGTTTTTTTTAATGATTCCAGATCAGATCAAGATCATTTCAGTTTCCATTGGTGTGTACATCGCAAACAATATTTATTAAATATAACAAACTCTGCCTGTTTCATTTTCTATTATATTTTTCCAGTTTATAAATAAGTTGATTTCCCTTTACAAATTAATATAGCCTTTGTAACTTTCATTCTGTAGAAGAAATAGTCAAACATTTTATGGCGACAGTAAGAGAGTGAATATGCAAAACTAATCTCCATAGCTACAGATTGTGACGGTTGTGAGTTTCTCTCTCAAAGAGAATTCACTTTGTAATTTGTAAGGGGAAATCATAGGTCAATAAAGAGAAAATTTTGGAAGTTATTAAAAATGTCAGCCGCTCTCAAGCCAGATGCATAAAATAAAAGAAAATTGTTGGCATTTTCATAGGGCATGTAAGTAAAAAAAGAACAAAATAAAAATATATTTAAATATCCTAAAAAATCATTTTAGTTCAACTAACGAGATTTGAATTGGCAAGAGGCACTGGCATTTTATATGACTGCTTCAAGTGTAAAGACGAGAACTTCTGAAACAAAATAGTTTATGAAGCTAAATTTATTTAAAATGCACAAAACCCACACATCTGCATTAGTAGCTGAATAGAAGGAGAAGTAACACCTTTGCAGGGGGAATGCACCATGAGTGTTCTGCAACTGCCTGGGGGTTTACTTTTCCTTAGCCAGCCCCCATGTTCCCTCCTGCTATAGCTACACTAAGTTTTACCCTCTGCCTACAAAGAGGTAGGCAGTGGATGAAAAGTTGATCAAGTGTTGTAATATATCATTGTTGCTTGTGGGGTGTGGTGGAGAGGCTGTAAGGATAATTCTATCAGCATTGTCTGTTCTTAAACAAGTCTGCAAGGGAAAGAAAACTACAGACACGGAGACCACACCTGCGTACAAAAAAACAATAAAACCATTAAAAAAAAAAAAAAAAAAAAAAAAAAAACAGGACAAAGCAAAAAAAAAAATTAAAAGATGGAGAAAAATGGCAATAGTTTTAAATATGAAGGGTTTTATAGCTAGAAGCAGTCAATCAAAAGTGAAATAAAATAGGGGAATATATATATATTTATGTGGAAGAATTTGTGTGACCTACACAGGTGTGACTTTTTTTTTTATCAGCAAATTTAGTTATTGTTGGATGAAAAAAAACTTTCTGGGTAGAGAGGGTGAGGATGGCTGCTGATATCAATACTCGGGGATGGAGTAGAATGATAAAAGGAAAAATACAGAGAGCTTTCTTTAGTTGTGTCTATGTGTGAATACACACACACACACACACACACACACACACACACACACACACACACACATATATACAAATGAATGTACATCAGAGCAAAAATATAGATGCAAACACACATGGATTTCAGTGTAGATATTGATATACAGACATCAACTCACACCGTCCTTTCCATACAAACACACTAATAGATTGTGTGTATGCATGCCTGTGTGAGTGTTGACTTCATTTTTTTTTAAGAAAAAAAACACCTATTGTGATTGTCTGGATTTTGAAAATTTCATCTGTAGATAAAAGAATGTACCTTATCTAAATTGACTTCTTCAAGATGACTATAAATTTCTATTGGCAATAATATTTGCAGTCAATAATTAGTCAAAAGAGAAGAGTTTATTTAAAAAGAAAAAAAAAAAAAAAGCAACAAATGTAAGAAAAAAATAAAAAGGAAGCCAAAAACTGGTTAAAATTGGTTGCAACCTTTTGCAGAGAATGGATCAAAAAAGACTTTTGTTTTTATGTCAACTACTAAAAGAATCGCATTTGGTTTTATTGTTTTCAGGAAGTTTTCATTTAAAGACGAGCAATTTGTTACATCACCTGATGATGATGTAAAAGATTCGAGGGAAACAATGTTTTTAGAAAAATATTATTTACAACATTTATACACATTTCAAAAGCAGGGGGAACTTTTGAAATGTTGCAGACGAAGTGCAAAAGCAAATAACTAAACATTTCTCTTGATTTATTATTGTAAAGAAAAGAAATACAGAACAATTAATATCAACACACATATTTTTATCATCATCATCTCAACACCTGTATTATCATCATCATGTCAATGCAGACATCATCATCATCATCTCAACACACGCATCATTATCATCATCATCTCAACGCATGCATCATCATCATCTCAACACCTGCATTATTATCTCAACACACGCATCATCATCATTATCTCAACACCTGCATTATCATCATGTCAATGTAGACATCATCATCATCTCAACACACACACATTATCATCTCAACACACACACATTATCATCATCATCATCATAACACACACATCATCATCTCAACACACGCATTATTATTATCTCAACACCTGCATTATCTCAACACACACACATCATCTCAACACACGCATCATCATCTCAACACCTGCATTATTATTATCTCAACACACACATCATCATCATCATTATTATTATCTTTTGAGAGAAAACAGAGCTGTTCTTGTCTGAAACAATATAACAAATGTGGGATATGAAAAATCTGGTATATCTGGGTTTTGAGAGTGATTTGGTTTTACAGTTTTCATGTCATCCAGATTTTTAGTTTTGCTGAAAACATTTTAAATATTGCACCAGAAGTAGAAAGTCTTTCTTTAGTATTTTCTCAATAACAAAGGCTGTCTGAGTAAATATATCACCTCCATACGATGGATTCAATGGAAGAAAAGAATGTGGAACATTTTCAGTGATTAGTCAGCACTGATTTTGTTTTTTTTAATTTAGATTTTTGATCAATATAAAATTAAATTAATATCATAGTCAAGCCAAAGTCCTTCCAACAAATAAATTCATTTGGCACTCAAAACAGGCAACACCTGTAAGTTGGGTATATTTCACAGTTTCATGTAAGGAAAAAAATGGTCATTTCAGTTCAGTTATAAAAAAGAATTAAAAGAAAAATCTGTAAAAAAAACTTTTTCTCTGTACTTGTAAAACTCTGGAAAATCATCTTATAAGCCATAAAACTAAATTAAAAAACAATGAATATTTAATCCAGGAAAGCAACTAGTGTATAATAAAAATTGAGTTTTATAATCAAGAATGCATCCTTCAGATGTAAAGAGTCTTGTTTTTATTGTTGACAACATTTCATTATTACAAAACAAATTGTTTATTATTGTCTTGTAAACATCACACATTAGCATAGCATGATTAAATAATAATGAAGTTCATGAAGAAGATCCCTTGGTAGAATCCACCACTAGTGTGGAAGTATTCATCTACTCAAGAGAGTATTATTAATGTAAAGAAAATATAAACATTATATATGTTAAGTATCACTTAACCTCAGAATTTGTAAAAAAAAAAAAAAAAAAAGAATGAATATATTTACTACTTTGTCTTAGGTTTATGATGATGATTAAGAAGATCATCATCAAAATCTTCAAATTTCTGAAATTATTTATTATTTCACTTAATAGTTAATTAAGTTAATTTTTTTTTTTTTTAGGTATTTTAGGATTTACAAGAAACTTAACTGAATCCAAAATAACCATACTTTTCTAAACCTGATCTAAATTATTTGGGATTTCATTCATTAAATCAAATATGAAACAAATTTGTTTAGATGTTTATTTATTCACTTTTCTTCCAGGCAGTTATTCTGAACTTTCTGAGTTTATGTCCTCTCATTATGGGTTTTTATTTATTACAAATAAAATAGAATAAAAAAATAAACAACCCAAAGATAAGCAAAACCCAGTTTAATTGGAGGCAAATTTTATCAGAATTTGAATCAATATAAATCTGTTATCACAAAAATAGAAATAGAAGAAGCTTCATAGATTAAAAACATTTAGCAAACTGAAGGATTTACTGAAGAAAGGAATTGGAAAGACTAAAGAAAGAAGGGAAAAGAGGAGAGGAATAGAAGTAAAAAAAAAAATGTTACAAAGAAAAAAATAGAAAAACCAATACTGTAGTAAAAATAAAGAAAAAAGAAAAGAAAAAGAAGGAAAAGGAAAAAAGAAAAGAAAAAGAAGGAAAAGGAAAAAAGAAAAGAAAAAGAAGGAAAAGGAAAAAAGAAAAGAAAAAGAAGGAAAAGGAAAAAAGAAAAGAAAAAGAAGGAAAAGGAAAAAAGAAAAGAAAAAGAATGAAAAGGAAAAAGGAAAAGAAAAAGAAGGAAAAGGAAAAAGAAAAGAAAAAAAGGAAAAGAAAAGGAAAAAAAAAAAAGAAAAAATGAAAAGAAAAGGAAAAAGAAAAGAAAAAGAATGAAAAGGAAAAAAAAGAAAAGAAAAGAATGAAAAGGAAAAAGAAAAGAAAAGAATGAAAAGGAAAAAAGAAAAGAAAAAGAATGAAAAGGAAAAAAGAAAAGAAAAAGAATGAAAAGGAAAAAAGAAAAGAAAAAGAATGAAAAGGAAAAAAGAAAAGAAAAAGAATGAAAAGGAAAAAAGAAAAGAAAAAGAATGAAAAGGAAAAAAGAAAAGAAAAAAGGAGGAAAAGGAAAAAAGAAAAGAAAAAGAATGAAAAGGAAAAAAGAAAAGAAAAAGAATGAAAAGGAAAAAAGAAAAGAAAAAAGGAGGAAAAAAGAAAATGATGAAAAAAATGGTAAAAAGAAAGAAAATAAATGTCTAAAGAAATGGGGGAAAAAAATAAAGAAGAAACAAAAAGGTAAGAAGACTGTAAAGAAATGGAAAGAAAAGAAAGTAAAATGAAAAGAAGCAAGAAAGTATGAAAAATCAAAGAGACACAATACCTACTTAGAGTTAACACAATTTGTGAAGAGCGTTTCAGTTTTCGTTTCTTCTTTCGTTTGGTTTTTGTCAAAGGTTCAACCCCATCTGTATCAACAAAGAACAATTCGCCAATACTGAATCTTGTGTTAGACTCAATATCATTCTCCTGCTTTATCTCACTGCATCTCTGTATGATTCTGTGTGCAGCATTTACAAACTTGCTCAGTGCTGGCTGAGGTTCTCCATTAGATGCCATAATCACAACACTCGGCCAAAAGACCAGTGAACCAGCAAGAGCCCAAATTCAAATATTCAAGGTGTTTCCTCTTGATATTCAGGTACAGCATTAACGTTGTGTAATTCAAAACTCCTGTTGATGTCTTTTAATATAAACAATCATGCAAGCAAAATTTCTTCTTAGATGTCTTTTTTCCCCAGGGATTTTGTTAATGAAGTATTTATTATTACAAATTTAAAATCCTGGATAGAGTTGCTTAACAATGCTAAAAGCAAGTGTTCTTGTTTGCTTACCAAATTTTTATGGTTTTGTTGGAAAGGAATCCATCATTTTTAAAGGAAGAAAAAATATGCACATTTGTTCTCATTACTGTTTTGGGACAAAACACTGAAAAGGACAATATTTATCATTCTAAGAAAGACAAAGAAAAAAAAATAGGCAAGCACTGGTCAAGTTTTTCATAATGCTATTTGAAAACCAGTTTTTGAGACATTTAAGAATTTATTTTTATCCTGTAATTATTATAAGTATAGAAACAGCTTTTTGAAGGAAATTTTAAAATTTTAAAAATAATGAAGTTTGTGGCAGTTTTGCTTTGGCATAAATATCCAAAAAAGACAATTTGAACACTTGAAGCTGATTTGACATTCATAGGGAACAAAGAAATAATATTTACTATGAGATGAGGTGGGAGAATATAACAGAATGTAATATGATGTTTTGTATTTTTAATAAGCTTTCAATATTTCAATCACTAAAATGAAAAGATAAATATTTCTGCAAGAAGTCAATGAAAAAGTGAGTAAGGATGAGGATATTAGTCAGAAGAAAGTAAGGTGAAATGTTTTGCATTATGTGGTTTGAAAACTGCCATTAAGGAAAAAAATCAGAAAAAGAAAAATGGAGGGAAAAATGGTCACAGAAGAATTTGGTCATTTTCTTACTTGCAGATAAGGATGAAATCCCTAAAAGAGTGAAATGTGTTCATCTCATCAGAATGACAAAGATTCCAGTTGAGATCAGAAAACAGAAAAAGATATTTTACAATGTCTGTCATTTAGAAGAAAAATTTTACAATCAGCAATTCTATTTTAAATCATTTACTTTTGTCTTTTTATTCCAATAATCCTCAAAGAAAGCTTAAATCTGTTTGTCTAAAACTGGTGAAACAGTCTCCTGAAAAGCCCTTCGTGGTAGACTAAACGAGTCTACAACAGTACAAGGTGAATTAGATGAAACATACGATGTGAAACTTTGATTTTGCCAACATAAAAATTTCCAAAAGTGGTTTGGCTCTACAAAAATATCCATCAGGTCATCAGACAATATGGAGAGTAGGTGCTGGAATGTAACAGATCATGTTAACAATGTTACTTAGGTTGAATGCAAAATGTCTTGAGGATGGATAAAATAATTTATATGTACAAAGTTTATGATCAGAGTGAAAATAACAAAGCTGTAGATAAACTGGAAAGGGAAGAAGAAGAAGAAGGAAAAAGAGAAGACAAAAAGGGAGAAAACATTTGATAAATGGAGCAAAATTCATTAAGGCATTAGAGGGAGGGGGGAGAGTGAGTTGGTTTTTGAAGGAAGAAGTATTTAGAAAATCAACATTGAAAGAGGAAGAAGAAGGAAGATTTGGAATGATTCTTTCCCCCCTCCTCCACTGATAGACAGCAAAGGACTGTCACTTAGCACATTGCAAATAAAGGGCATTGTTTACATTGTGCCTTTTGTTTGAATCAGGCTAAGAGCACTTGAATACCTTGGATCAAGGACAAGGATATCAATTAACTGTACTTAACTGATCTTCTCATCTGAACAGATTCTGTAAATAGATGACTGACATGTCACCTGATGCCATCCAACTGACAACTTGATGACCACAGATTATTTCTGGCCAGTATTATTACTTATAATTGATACTGCCACATGGTTTACATAAGCAACACATTGAAAACACAAGTACACATCACTGTTAAAGTTAAGCAACATTTAATTTGGCCAATACTCTTTGAAAATTTGAAGAACTGAAGCTAGCTTGTCCTTAGAGTAGAGCTGATTTTAAGCTGTGAAAAAGAAAGCAGATACTAAGTTGGTTTATGAAAGGGTGTAGGAGGATGGGCCAACTAGAAGCAATGAATTGGCAGGGATTTTGGGGTTTTTTTTTCTACAAGGAGAGATCAGTTTTAGAAGATTGAAAATGTCTGGAATGATTTTCTTTTTCTTACAACCACAAAAATGTAGCAAATATAAAAGCATTCAATAGATTCTGATTCACTGGCTTCCTTATTTTGGGCTTCTACTAGAACTTCAATTTATTGACTTATCAGAACCAGCAAAGTGGAATCAACGGGTATTACATTCCCCCATTTTTATTTTAACATTCCATTAGAGAGAAAGAAAAAATAGAATTAAAAATACATTATTTCTGTAGCCATTCAATTTTTTCATATTTCCAGGTCAGTGACTGTGGCAATAGTAAGCAGCCCAGCCTTAAGATGTAAAAAAGGAGGCCATCTTGTGAAACTTAACCTCTACTTCCCACCATTTCATGGCAAAATAAGGAAAGGGGAGGAACTTGTATTTTGGCTAGATCCACAGACAGGCAACTTTCTTCCGTTTGCAAAGCAGTGTTTCTACTTTGTTTGAAAGGTAGACTTTCTCACTGTGCAAGTTCTATCATTAAACATACATTTTAGAAATAATATCCAGTTGCCAATTTGATTAGAGAATCATTTGTTTCTTTTAAAAAAGAAATAATACTTTATTTGGTTTCAGAGATTTTATTCTCTAATACATTAATAAACAACAAAGTAGGCAATCATGAGATTTTAGCATTTTAAAAATTATTTGACAGTTTCTACTTGAAAAAAAAAAAAAGAAAAAGAAAAAAGAAGTTTCATTTATTTGAGTAATTTAGTATTTATGCAGCACAAACACAATGGAGAAAGTTTCGTAGTTTTCTTTCTGGCATAATAACACAGAAGATTCTCAAGTACAGGAATTTCTTGATTAATGTGCATTCGACTAAATTGTTTTTGATTAGTGCACTGAAATTTTTTATACTAAAATTCGGTTAGTGCATGCATAATACTCAATTAGTGCAGTAAAACATTTTTCAGGATAGTAATTGAAAATTGATTTTTTTTATAGTTACCGATTGATTAAAAATTTTCTAAAATTTATAAATGGAAAATGGGTAACTATTTTGTTTGTCAATTTTGTTTATATTCGATTAATGCATTTTCGATTAGTGCATATCTTTTAGTTTTAATGTACACATTAGCCACACTAATTGAGGGATTCCTGTATAGTTGGCACCTGGGAAAGCATCTGGTAGTAAATTACTTCAACAAGTCCACACATATAAAAATACTCAGTGGAGATATTAAAGTGGTTTGCAAGAATGATTTATTAAAATCACTTTATAAGAGCTGTTGTTACTTGTTCATTTGTTGTTTGGTTTGTAATATAAACTTTCTATCCATTGACAAAAATTTAGGGATGTGAGAGAGAGAGAGAGAAGCAATTCCTAATTTTGTACACAAAAATTTGGGATGTAAATGAAGAGAGAACTCATTTATAAAAAAAATTTAAATCCCAACACCACCACACACACAGCACCCTCAAACTCCATGACTGGGAGGGGGGGGTCCTGATTGGGGCCCCCTTGAATTACACTGATTTAAATTATGTTGGGATGATCTATTTATGACATGTCTCTCATTTGTATTAAGATACATTATATTTTCAAATTTTTTAGTTGAATTGTTCACCTATATTGCATATGATCCATTACTGTACGCAATTAGGTTACAATAAAATTTGCATGGGGGGGGTAGGCTGCTACTACCACCATGTATGTCATCCAAGTTTATAACTGATAAAGACATCTTTGTAATGAGAAAGAAAACAACAAAAGGATTTGTACATTTTAGTGTGTGTGTGGCGTTTATTCATTAGTTTTATTTTTGTACATCAAGTATTTCAATCCAAAGATGAAAAGGGTTCAAATTGTGATAGTGAAGAATGATAATTTAAAATGGATCTCTTTGTAGAGATTTATAAAAAAAAAACAGAGCCCAACACTGTTAGTCACTGCCATGAAAAATAAAATCAGTAACATAGAAGTCAATTACGTCAACGAAATGAAAAAGCTTCAAACTCACCATTTCCTTAATCTTATTAAGGCTTTATTTATACAGGATATTTTGTTTAGTATCACTTCTTTTATGTGCCATGTCCCTTTGGGATGTAGGTGATCCTAGCTCTCCACTTCTTCCTGTCCCTTGTAGCTCTCAATAAATTTTGTCTTTTTGCTATTTCTCCTAGACCTTGTTCTGCCATCCACTTGCTTAAGTCCATTAAGTATGCCATGCATTGCTTTCCCTTGATGCTCTTTCCCTCCATCCACCCGGTGAGGATCAGATTTTCTAAGCCCTCCTTTCTCATTACATGTCCCAGAAATTTCAGCTGCCTCTTCCTGATGTTAAGTATAAGATTCCTCTTTGCATCCTCTCCAAAACCTCATTGTTGCTCACATGTTCAGTCTAGGGTATCCTTAGCATCCTCCTGTAGAACCATACTTCTGTTGCCTCGAGTCTCTTCTTCCAAACATCAGAATTTTTTTGTTTTTTGGAAATGGTTTCTTTGTTGGGCTGATAATTTTTCAGCTCCTCTTCTCATATGACATTCATGGATTTGTTAACAGTAATAAATGTAAAAATTCAACAAAATCACAAGGATAATGTTAATTATCCTTGTGCTTTTATAGATGAAAAAAGCTATTTTTTGTCAACATTGAAGAAATTATTGGTAAAATTTGTTTTTTTCTCCTTTTTAGTTTACAAGTTTAATTTCAGGAATACAAATTGGAGTCAACAATCAAAAAAGAAAACTCCTATCCATTAGGTTTTATTTTCTTAGCAATTCATTAATAAATTCATATGAAATTGCTATATTTTTAGGCAATAAACTCATTTTCAAATATGCTTAATTAAATATAAATATACCTATCTAAAATCTGGATTTTGTGATTTCTTTCTCTTTAATCCTATAATAACCAGTGGTTTGTCTATCTAAATTGGTCAAGTCGGTTTTCTTGATATTTAGCAAATTTACTAAATAGAAATTATAACATTGGGGAATTATGTGAGAAAGTTTTTAAGATTACATTTATATATTTCAATGCATAAATAAGATATTACAAAGAAAAAGGATAAAAAAAAAAACATTGCATTTGACTATAATTCAGCAATTTTTTTTTTTTTATCAAACAGTTTTGAATCACATAAGTCAAGTATAGTGAAAGTGATGGGCAACAAATTTTATGTAGTCACTATTGAGAACTTGGAGCATAAATTTTAACATGTGACTTTTTAAATATTCAAAAAACATTAAGATTTTTGCAACATTTATGATTTACAATATAAATGCAATGCTAAACTGGAATCTTGCTTTGTGTCTGTCATCCAACCTTTATCTTTTTGTTTAACTGTATAAAGAAGACATCCAGCTGGAAATTTCACAAAGAATGTTGTGACATTTTGTATATGACTTTTTTTTCCTATAAATTTTTTTTGCAACCAATGGAAAATCAAAATTAAAAAAAAATGTGTTGTGTCTAAACTAATTTAAAAATTTATTAAAAGTAAATGACATTCGTTTATGATATTGATGATTTTCAAATAAGGTTACATTCAATAACCGCATATTTCCAATCCACAATGTTTTTTTTGGGCTAAAACCACACTTGCCACCACCAGCATTTTGGGCTTCCACAGGAATTACCTAATAATCTTGCAGGTGGGTTTTCAGCTTGTCTATCTAAATTATTCCTGCATATTTAGAGTTACCAAGAACAACAACAATCTTTACAAGAGACACGTTCATCTTGTATCATTTGCTCAATTCTTTGCTCTTTACAGAAACATGTTTATGCCAGAAATCATTTAAAAAAAAATTATCACTTGGTGAATTATGAATTATGATTGACAGAAATCACTAAAGCCATTTTAACTTTGATTTAATAATATACACATACACACATTAAATATATATATATATATATATATATATATATATATCAAATAGCAAATCTGTAGGTGGTAGAGATTATTCCAAGGAGGCCTTTTTAATATAAAATATTAAAAAGTTAAATCCATGAAGAGAGCTCAATATATAAATAAATAAATAATAAGGAAAACACTTAATTATTCATCATATAAATGGTTATAAATTTATTTCAGAAGTTTTATATATATATATATATATATATATATATATATATATATATATATATATATAATATATATGAAAAAATTCTAAGAGTTAACCTGTAGAAAAAGATCATTTTATAAATGTAAAAGATAATAAAACTGTAATATTAGCTAATGCGTTTTTGTCCAATGTGGACTTTTTCAAGGCAAAAACGAAATGAATTTATTAAAACAAAGTAACTATTAATAACAAAACAAAATGTCTTAGCAACTGGAAGAATTGAGAAAATGCTATTAATTGA